GCTGCACACGTACAAATCTACCACCAGTACCAAAGAGCAGAAACCTGAACCGAAGGGGCTACCACAAACTGAGGAGAAGATAAGAAGGCACCCTGATCAAGGACCAGGATGGCTCAGGCGACGCATGAGCAGGCCGGAGGTGAAACAAAACACGAGAAAGTGTACGAAACATCATACTGTCGCCAAGACAAAGCTCGCAGGTGGGACACCATCAACAAAGCCACCTGAACACCACAGAGATGGTGATACCCGCGTCAAAATACCAGACGTGAAGAGCCGAGGAGAAAGTCGAACCAGTCACGTACGAGACCGATTCGACCTGCAGAAAGAGGCGGAGCCGTGGGAAAACGCCCCGGGTTCGGACACCTTTCAAGCAGAGTCTGAAAATAAGGCTGAGCTGGCCACCAAGGAGCCATAAGGACTGCTCTCAGGGGAATGGACTGCAACCGAGCCAGAACCCGAAGCAACAGCTGGACCGGGAGAAAAGGAACAGGTACCCCCACCTCGACCAGTCCTGCCAAAAAGCACCCACCGTGAATGCCTCGCAGGTGGGTAAGGGCGCCACATAGAATGGGCGACACCTAGACCACTCCGACTCGAAGACGTCCATGGCAAGGAGTCCATACGTCTGGCAGAGCCAACGAAACAATTCGGTGATGACTGGCCTATCCGCGAACAGAGGAATGAACTGAGACAGCTTTCCGCCAGGACGCAGGACACACCCAGGACATGAACCTCACGGTTAGCCAAACCCCGAGAATCCAGCAAACGAGCCACTCTAAGGGACCAACCCCAAAGGTCAAACACCTAAGAGAAACCCTGTGGTTCCGGCAAAGAACCGCCAGAGAACAGTCCGAATGGAGCTGAATGGTAGAGCATTGAGTGACCCAAACCCTCCGAAGTGCAAACCAGACAGCCACGAACTCCCGAACCGTGCTGTTAGCCCGACGGACGGATAGACCCTACCATCCCCGGCCGACCTGGTGAGCACTGGTCACAGAGCCCCAGCCGAGAGATGACCCGTCCGTGAACACATCAAGCGAAGGCTCGGGGAGATGCCAGGTCACGGAACCCCGAAAACCCCAAAGAGGAAGCTGGTGACGCAGCATCAACACAAGATCCCCGGAGGAACGAACCCAACGATTGCAAGAGAGGTGGAAGTGGAGTCTCCGAAGGAACCAAACAGACATCAAAGCCAAACCCGACCCCGCGGGCAGACCAGCACGTCAAAGTTCAGACTCCTGCACAACTGCTCGAGCAACCGCCGAGCAACCCGGGACTCCCTCATGAACAGCCGAAGGTGGGACCACAGCCACACTTCTGGAGGGAAATACAAGGAGCGGCCCAAGAGCCCTAAACAAGACCCAGTCAGGTCTGAACCCAGGACAGAAACAGATGGAACGGCCTCCAGATCACCAGGAATCAAAACCGGCAATCTGGAATGAACCACACCCCTGGTGAACAGACAAGTGGACCGACTGGGAGCCCACACCAGCCAGTCGTCGAGGTAGGCAAGACACCGAATCCCAAGTAGACTCAGACAGGGCACCAAGATCCGGTAAAGATGCATAAATACACCAAGTGCCAATTACAAACTAGGGAAGGCAACAAAAGCGGCAAGCCTGAAGCCCCACCACCAACTGTGCCAGTCCCGGAAAACTGGAGAGGAACGTGCCAAGAATTGACCTGGAGGTCCAGGGCCACCATCCAGGCACCCGGCCCCAACAGAAGCCGGACAGGAGACAACAGTTCTCCGATGAGGGCATAGAATCCAAGGTGCAGACTGAAGAAGTCCAGAAGAACCGCAGATTCGACAGGCCCATGTCTGCATAGAGCAGACGGGAACCACAGAAGGATGGGGCGGATTGACCAAGGCCAATGCACCCACTAAGATGACATGACGAAGCGCAGGGGAAGAAGCCCACCACTCCAACCCTGAACCCCCCCCAAGGGGAAGAAGCCGTCCACCGCCGCCACCAGAGGCCGGAAGACAATCAAAGGTGCCCAATAACTGCGGGACCATGCGAGAGTAGGCGAAGAAGGCACAAAACTGCATCAAAAGGCCCACCTCGACAAAAAAAACAAAGTCCCAGCACGACTACAACACGTGCCAAGATCCAAAAAGGTCAGTCTGCAAGCCAGGAAGACCCCAGAACCCCAGACGACAGAAACGGGTCACACACGAGGAAACAAAGCCCCCTGAACCCACAAAGGGGGCTCAAGAGGAAGAAACCTCTGGAACGAAACCAAAGAACCCAAAGGAACCCGGAATCCCAAACCACCACATTTGCCGGCAGAGATACACCACAGAAAGGCAAAGCACAGCCCCCAGACAGAACCCCCAGGGAAACGGTCAAAACAGACCGAAAACCGAGGGACAAGGTGTGGGAGCAAGCATAACAAACAGGGACACTGAGCCCAGACCCAAAACAGACAAAACGGAAAACCCAGTGTAAAATCAACTCTCAAACGTTCCCAGAGGAACAGGAAACGGGCAGAAAACACCAGAAAAGCAAAGAAACGACAACAGGAGAATAAAACCCCAGAAAAAAAGGTGAAAAACTCACCCAAGAAACTCACCCAAAACTCACTCAAGCTCGCTCGTACACCCAGGCGCATGTAAACAAACAGCAACGCCACCCTGGTGGCCACGCCGGGAAACAGGCAGAAGAAAATGGCCTCCAGACCAGAGCGCTGTGACCGACACAAAAGATACTAATACACGCCAGCAAAAGTGGAAAGCAAGCAGACTGGATGGGCGAAAAACTCCGCCCAAAAGCAGAAAACCCAGGCAGGTGCAAACCGCCCCAGAACTGCTAGCAGGCATCCCCCATAGCCCCGGGAACCCGCAACAGAGGCCCCGGGGCAGAGCCGTCCTCCAAGCCCTCCATCCTTAAAGAAAAGAAAGAGTTCATGGGAAAGGCAGCAAGAAAGGGCCGCTGGTAAGACCCACAAGCCTTGGCAGGAGGAAAAGGCTTGAAAACCTCCGTTCCCAACCCGAATGGGGCAGCCCCCGAAAACCGCCCGAGTCTCAGCCCCAACTAAACCCCGCCCCGACCCCGAAACCCGCAGACGGTCCAGAGCCGGGAACAGGAAGGGAAAGGTGCGAACAGCACCTAACCGAAACGGGGCGGCCCCAGGGCATCCGAGTGGGAAACCAACCTAGCGTGTTGCAGCAACCTAACCTAGCTTGCACCACGGATGCCACCTGTCCTCTGAACAGTAATAACATCAGGAGAGTACTGGAGAACAAGCAGAGAATCTCTCTCGCAAGACTCCGGGTCAAGGTGTCAGTGATCCAACAGGCAACATGATGGAGGTAAAAGTGGCGACTGTCACCCGGAGACAAGGGCACAGCAACCAACAATCCCGTACAAGACGGGTTGGAACCCGGAAGACACATTCAATGGTCCACCGAGCCCCGACAGGGGTTTCCAGGGCCCGTAGGGGTAACAACTACGGGAAGCCCGGGCAAGGTGTTGCTAACCGGTTAAACACCCAAAAGTAACAAGGGGGGTAGAGACAACACTGAAAACCCCTGCGACGTGTACAATCATGGGGGCCTAGCTGAGGGCCACCAAACACTACCAGTGGAACTATAGCCACACTAGGCAGACCCCCACCAGGCAAATGAAAATAAAAACAAAAGAAAAACCCCGCAAAAGTACACCGTCTCCAGAGGCAACAGGAACCGGTTGCCGCTTAGGTGGCAGGTCGTGCAACACCTTGACGCCCTAACCAGCACAATACCAGTCCCTTCCCAGGGCCAAACAAGGGCCCCAAGCCCAAGCTGGCCCCAAGGGTGAGGCAAATGCCGAGCAGCAAGAACCTCTCCTGGAATGGTTCCCGAACGCCCCAGGGAAGATAACCCTGTCACGCAGGGGCAGTACTCACAGGGCACTTAGGGAAGGAAGCCCTTAAGCGCATGCAGCCCCGGCACTGATGAGGTACTCCTGGCCACCGCACACCACAACACACGGCAGTGAACGCCACACAAGGCAAACACCGCCTAGGAAACTGAGGCCAGAGAAGCGTCTATCCCGGTTGACATTAGCTTACGAACTAATGCTAGGCAGCTGGCACGATAGGTCCGGGGCTCTCCCCTCCCCCTCTCGGGGCAGGGAGGGCTGTGCGGACGATCGGCGCGGCAGTAAAGTGTGATGTTTGCGTGTTTCCTTGGGATTGTAGGGAGTTTCTACCTCTCTGTTCGTTTTTTGTTTTAGTTTTTAACCATGTGGAGTTAGTTTTGTTATGCCTACCTTTCTGGGTGCTAATCCTGGTCGATGGCAGATAAGGAAAACCCCAACCACAAGGGGGTTTTCCAGGGCCATTGCTCCCTGAAACCTCTCTGAAGGGACCAGGTTCTGGCGCTGGTCCCTGGTAGGTCTGAACTAGGGGCAGGCAGGGAGCCGTAGGGGCTCCCCACAGAAAAATCATTCCTGTACGACTTGCATAACAGAAGGGTTAAACAGCTTAATTAAAAGTGACATTGGGGTGTGAATGATAAAAAAAAAAAAAAAAAAAAAAAAAACGAGTTCAGAAAATTACATTTGGCAATTTGAGCATAGGAGGTAATTGCAGATTAGAGCCATTTACAGGTTAAGCTAGATCTGCTCCAGTGCATCCTGGTACCAGTATGAAGCTGTGGTGACATGAAAATCTGAGTGGCATTGGTATATTAAATGTCTCCCTGCTTGCCTCCATGGTATGCTCCAACTATGGCAGGAGTCTCTTACCTTAGGCAGCAACCAAATGCAATAGCTCAATCTCTCTCAATTTCCTATGTCAATATATCTGAACTCAACAAATTTACTCTTAAAATGGATAACATAAATATTATGAAGCATGGCTTAGCATGGCTGATCACAGTTTTGTGTATTGAACTAATATGCAATCTTCAAACTACTGTACTGTATATACAATTTTGTATTGGGCTTTGCAATACATACTATAATTATGTAACTTCAAAGCATACCTTACAGTAATTAAGGAAAACTTACCTTCTTCTTTTCTTTGGATCTGGATAATCGCAACTTGGATAGCTTGTCTCGAACTGTTGATGGACTTTTCGGTGCACACTTGGGTGTATCAGCTACTAGAGTACTCGCAGGCGGCACAACTGACGAAGACTCGTGTGCATCACTTGGCTGGGATTGCTGTTCGCTCTTTTTTTTATCATCTCCTCCAGATTTACTGAACATTCCTACAATAGATTTCAATGGTTAATCACAAAGGAGGTAGGACAAGGAGACATCAGTAGAATTTTGACAACCAATAATGTCGTAGAGACACAAGGATATTTTCGTACCCTGTATGGATGGTCAGAAGTTGAATGCATTGAAAGAAGAGGTTGTCAAAGCCACTTACATCCACAACTTTAAGGAAACAATATGATGAAAACTCAAGTTGGAAGAGGTAATCAGCGTGTCAGGTGGCTAGGAGGTGGGGCATAAAGAGCTAGGTCTCACTCTCTTGTGATCACTGATAGACACGCATATGCAGGCAAGCAATTATATTCTATTCTTCATTGCCAGAAATGTCTAAAAATGAAGCCTTTACACAATAACACTAAGCTTTTTAGGTAACCCAGTACTGTGGGGCAGTCTTTATATTTCAGATAAAATCATTCAGTTGAACAAATTAAACTGCCATGATGTGTATATGTACATGTACAGAACACAATCAAGGTACATTACAGAGTTCAACAAGCAATGCTTATTCTTTGCCCTTTCATTGAAAATTATATCCATGTCTCAAAAGAATATGATATATACAAAGAAAATGATTAATGAAAGTTCTTGTACTCTATGTATTATTTCATTCACCTGGACCATCAGAGCCTTCAACCACAGACCATATAAACAGCTGCCTGCAGCTCTCTATTATGTTCATTATATTCTAAACCAGACATTTGATCAATAGCTCGGAGGCATCCCCATTTTTCCTACCACAATATATATACAGGGTGTACAGTACTACCAAGAGAAGAATCTACAAGAACCATGACCATATACAAAGGAGCATATAAAAGGGAATAGAGAACTAGGGCTCGTGAAGGGACCCCAATGAAGCCCACAAAAATCAATGTATAATACGAAAGTCTGCCACCTGCCAGCCAGCCATCCAGGGAATAAAACAATTACATAAATTCAAATGACAAAGTGGCCATGAGCCTGAAAACCACCCAAATAGGTCTAGTCTGCTTGATACCTGCTTGATGGGGTTCTGGGAGGAGTTCTACACCTGCAAGCCCGACCTGAGGCTAGGCTTAACTTGTGAGAGCTTTGTCCAACAGGCTATTGCTTGGAATGGCCCGCAGGCCCACATATCCACCACAGCCCGGTTGGTCCAGCAATATCTTGAAGAAAACTATCTAGTTTTCTCTTGAAGATGTCCACGGTTGTTGTGGCAATATTTCTTATACTGTACTCGCTTTAAGCCATTACGCTTTGGCAATTAAGCTTTAAACCTCCCCCTTAATTTAACCATTAAGCTCGTTCTCCCCACATTTGACCTCTAGACAAATGCACAAACACTGGGGCAATGGAGGTGTCATCCTTACAATAGTTGAAATTGTTCATGTAGCAGAGGTGATTCTTGCACCACTATCAAGAGTGGGATTACAGGCTAAGATGAGAATTACTGACATGCACTTAAAAACTTCTTAGATTAATAAAGAAAAAGTTTGGAAAATTGGGTAAAATAAAAATAAAACTCCTCTCATCTAATAGATCAATTTTTTTAATGGAATTGACCTGTCCATTTAAAAACCAACGTTGAATGTCATTTTCACGATGACATTCAACTGATTTGCTGTCAACTCGATGCTGTTTAACGTTTGCTGTCAACATTCAAATGTTGAAAACGCCATTTTCTGGGTGAATCCCAGAGGCTCCTTGGAGCTATCCAGGCTGATATGTATATCCCTAAACTTTGGCATCAGTCAGTGTGAATGGAGGTCTAGGCCTACCAGGGACCAAGGCCAGAAACTGGCCCCGTCAGAGAGGCACGAGGAGCAATGGCCTATAGAAATGCACATGGGATTTGGATCATTCTATATCTGCCATCAACCGGGACAGGCACCCAAAAAGGTAAGCATCTCAAAACAAACCCCTATTCTGGTTAAAACGACGAAAATAGACCAACTAGTGGACAGAACTCCCCAAATGAAAACGAGCAAACAAACATGATGTCACACGAGCCATGCTGCATGTCTGCGCAGCTCCTCCACCCTCCTTGGGAAGGGGAAGGGGAAGCCCCTGACTCCCATGTCGGCGATCAACCCACCAGTTCTGAGGCTGGATGTCAAAAACACGCGAAAAACTGCTGACCAGAGGGAGGGAGGGAGGGATGGAGGGTTGCCTTTGGAACTCACCCAGAAAATGGTATTTCATTACATTCAATGCTGGTTTTCTAGGGGCTCTCCCTTTGGCTCTCCGGAGCTACTTCACCTACTTTTAACCAGAACAGGGGTTTGTTTTGAGGCGCCTACCTTTCTGGGCGTCTGTCCCAGTTGATGGCAGATATAGAATGCTCCAAATCCCATGTGAATTTCAATAGACCACTGCTCCTCGTGCCTCTCTGAAAGGGCCAGGTTCTGGCCATGATCCCCGGTAGGCCTAGACCTCCATTCACACTGACTGATGCCAAAGTTTAGATTTATACATATCAGTCTGGATAGCTTCGGGGAGCCAAAGGGTCTCCCCACATAAATGCAACCCAATTAGTAAAATTTAAAAACTGTAATACTGACAGTTTCTATGCATTGGCCTAAATAGGTTAGGTGGGTTGATTGAGTTTGTACATTTCTAGTTAGATGAAACAGTCGCATTTTTATGGAGTGACAAATCTAGAGAACTGGCTTGTCACCGCTCCCTTTTTCATTCACAAGGTAAGAGATTAAAATTATATTAATATATTAACAATATTGACAAATATTTAGTTTCTTTTGTATACAGTTTGTGAAGTATTTTTTGTTAAGATCACTATGTAAAGTTTAAAGAAATTTGCATTTTAAAACCATAATATATTCTGCATGGGCCATACCATTTTGAGCAAGAAAATATGGAAATTAACAAACCTGTAAAAACTTGTATCAAACTTCTCCTCCTTTCACGATCTTTTGATTTCTTGCCCGATTTTTTCTCCAATATTTTCTCTGATGAAGCAGATTCCTGCAATAGCTGACTTGCTGGAGCTGGAGTAGTATGAGCTGGAGTAGTACGAGCTGGAGTAGTACGAGCTGGAGTAGTACTAGATAAGACGGTTGTAGCTGAAGTTGCTGGAGACAATGGTGCTACATTTGACTGTTGCATAGATGGAATTAAACCAATGGTTGGAGATGCAGCCATGCTTACGGCTGTTGTGGTATTTCCTATAGAAGTTGGCACACTAATATTAGCTTTAATTGGAGGAGCAGTAAACACCTGTAAAGATTCAAGTTCCAACAAGGATGGCCTATGAGTGGGACGCCGTAGGAGTTGACTATTTGGTCGAGAGTCACCACTTTCACTACTTCTAGTGCTTCCTCTTCTTCTTTGTCGATATTCCTCTAGTCTTTCCTTAACACGATCATCTTTGTTCCATTCATCTTGCTGGACTTCTGAAGAATCTCTTTGTCGATGCTGCCGTTGTTCGGCAAGCAGTTCTCTCACCCTTTCATCTTTATCTTTTGGTGTTGATTCCTCTCTTCCCTGAGTTTTAAATGTTGTTTGTATAACTAATGCTTGATTCTCTCTCACTTTTTCTTCTTTTTCTGCTTCGCATTCACTCAGGCTACCTCTTTTTAACTTTTCTCGTAAATTATCCGCCAGGTTTGGAGGACTTAATCCTAGATCCAAATCTGTTTTAAGGCGTGCACGAATGCGAGCCTCCTCTCTGGCTCTCTCTCTCTCTACAGTACTTAGATTAGGAGTCGAGAGCGGTCTCTCAGATGTGATGGGTGTCGAGCTACCAGAGACAGAAGCATGATGTCTACGCATTGGTGTTGCTGGAACTGGAGCAGGAGGCACTATAAACATTTCCCTCTTCAGTGGTAAGCTTCTAAATTGCTCAGGATGAGTCATGGGGGTTGCTGGAAGATTTACACGAGCTGGGCTTGAAAGTTCTGCTTCACACACTTTTTTTGCTGTATCAATTTCCTCACAAGGACTTTGTTTAGGCGCTGTGTTAATGCTATTTTTGTCACAGTTTCTTTCAAATACTTCTTCATCCAAACTCTCGTCAACAAATGGAACACTACACTCTTGAAGACTATCCATTTCATCTGTCAATCCCAAAACACTATCATTTCTAAAATAAGAACCTACTCTAACCTTTGCTCGAGTCTCCTCAGCTGCAAATGTCTGCCCACTTTCTGGTAAATCTGATATAACAGATTCCAGTCTCAATAACTTTTTGCTGTTAACTCGAATATGTTTTTTATCTTGACACTCTTTGCTTATACAATCCAAATCTTTCACAGAATTGTCAATTTTGTCTAAAAGGTTCTCCTGGGATGATAGGGGACTGAAGAGTGAAGTTCTTGATCCAGTTGAAGAAAGAGGGCTTACAGATGCCCGTGATCCTCTTCTAGGAGACTTTTCTGAATTTTTCCGAGATATTCGTGACATGACTAATTCCTTAATTAGATCTTTCTCCTTTTCTTTATTACTATTTTGTAGGCTTCTCTCTATCTGTTTTTTAGCTGTATTAGGAGAGACAGCTTGTTTACTTCCTGAGGCACTGTTCTGGATTTTTAATTCTGCCAGTTGTTTCTCATTCTTTTCTCTCTCTTCTACATCCTTTTTAGTTGGAGAAAACAATGGTTGTTTCGTAGAATTCTTTTGAATATCTATTGAATCTCTAACATATCCAAATGGGCTCATTCTTTCTTTGAATCTAGGAATGTATCCTTCATAGCGTTTTGGAGACATATAGTCATCTAAGGAATCTCGTCGATGCTCCCCATTTAAGTTTGGCATTATTTCTGTAAGAGAAGGAGGTTCAGACGTGCTTTTCGGAACATGGGACTCTGACATGCTTTTTGAAAGACGTGGTAGGTGAGATTTTGATTTGTTTAATAAATACTTGACTTCTATACTCTCATGCTCAGCCATGTTGTTATTTTGGGCTTCCTGGACACTACTTTGTGATGTATCATCCATTTCAGTACTTGTGCTCTCTGAGGATTTACTTTCACTCCCACTTTGGCTCTGAACTTGCACGTTTTCAAGCTCAATTAGGGATATCTGTGGAGCGATAGGAGTTGTAGGAGTTTCTTCTTCCAACTTTCTATATCCCAGTTTTTTGTGTGATGTATCATCAGGGCTACTAGCACTTTCACTGGTGTCCATGAATTCTATGCCTTCGAGATCTACAAGAGCGGAAGGTTTTGAAGGCACTGGGGTGGTAATATTGGGGCAAGTAGATACAGCAGAGTCTGTGTCTCCGAGACTTTCCTCTGACGCTATTCTTGCAATAGTTTTAGAAGCATCCTTTTTTATACACCGCTTTCTAATTTTATTAAGTTCGACTTCTAAATCTTCACCAGCACTCAAGCCATCATTATCACCAGCCCAATCTGATAACTCGGGTTCAGTGTGTTCCCTACCCTCCTCAGGACTAGACAAGTTTTCCTTTGACAACACTGGCTTTATTTCATCACTTTCATCTGTAGTTCGTGTATGGGACAACTTATCTATTGTGTTCTCCAATTGTTCATGTGCTTTAGCATTCTCCACAACAATTTCTGTAACAGGCTCTACTTGTTTGTTTATACTTTTCTCAGCACTTGTTCTCTCTCTCTCTGTATCACATACTGACAATTCCTGAGATGTCAAAGTGTCACTAGTTTTAGAGTTTATGTCACTATGTGAAAAACCATTAGTATTTGTACCTGATAACTCGACTAACTCAGAAAATTTATCAATATCTTCTAAAGCATCATTAGCTAGTATATTAAATAGTTCATCAATATTATCTTCTACCTCATGCTTTTCTACCTCACTAAAAACACACACAGGATTATTTTCCTCTCTTAAAATATTTTGACATTCAATGTTCCCTGTATCAAGTGAATGTGGCATATTTATCAGCACAATCTCCCGATTAATAGTTTCGAGTCCTTCACATTCTCCGGGCAATGATAACCCAAATTCATCTATTGCTTCATCTGACACAATACATTCATGCTGCTGATCCACATTTAGGTTCATACTTTCATGTACTTTTTCTTTGTCTAAATCACTATCACTTTTTAGTCTGTCTATTTCCACATTTGCTACTTTGTCAGTAATGTCACTACTAATATTTACATCACAGTCACAAATTACATTATCTTTTACACTGGAGTTGGCTTGTTTCTGAATCTCAATGGTAGTTGGTGATTTTTTAGGAACAGACCATTTGCAACCAGAAGGCACATTGTCATAATCAGATCCACTGTCACTTGATGTCCCAGTGCCCGTGTCACTACTGCTCTCAGACTCTGGAAATTTCACCAGGTTTTTCTCTGGTTTACTTATGGCTTCCTCATCTATTTTAGAGGATTCTCCAGAGACTGGGAAGCCTTTTAACTGATCTGTAATCTGCACCGGGACTTCTACTTCATCTATGGCCTCCACGGGGTATACTGACGACTCTATATGAGTGGTGATATTTTGTTTGGCTTCCTGAGAAGCGCTTACTTCTGCAGGGTTAGTCAAAGATATATCTGCTGCTACTGTTGATTTAGTTAGTGAGTTGTCCCCATCAGCTGTATCAGCATTTGTTGAATCTGAAGTATTTTCACCCTGAGGAAGTGATATAGACCTAGCTGGAAAGAGAGGGGACGATGGTGAGGATACTGGACTCCTAGGGCTGGGCACTGATGAGCTCATGAAAGCTTGCATAGCTGCACTAGGTTGGGGAGCTGGATTCAGCATTTTCTGTGTTTCAGATATTTTGTCCATGAAACTCTTAAAACGGCTGCCTAAATCTGCCGTCGAGACAGATTTCCGTGGGAGGTTTACAGTCTCCCCAAGGAGGTACTGACGCTTCAGCTGTAGGGCTCTCTGAGCAGCTATCGCTTCTCTTGAATCTGTCCGTTGTAGAAGCCTTTTGAGTTGCTCTGCACGAGGATTTATTTTGCCCGTTTCATTTAGATTCGTTAAACTAGCACTTTTTTCACCATTTTCTTTCACCCAATCACCTGATTCCTTACTGTTCACAGTTTCTAAATCTACTTTCTGAGCCACAAAATCAGTTCTTGGCTCACCTTTCACTTGGGTCACACCAATATGACTCCGATCTTTACTTTCCTGTTCTTTAGCCACTGACAGACCGAGGTTGAAGTCCTGAAGCATATCTTGGGATTCATTAATAATAATGGTGGGGATTGCCTTAGGAGGCCCAGGTTGAACATGATCGTCAGCAAACTCAGAGTCGGTGTCAATCTGAGTATCACTCTCTTCACTCTCTTCATCACTTGCAACCTGCAAAATGAGAAGAATTGTTTACAAAATTTCTCAAAGGTAAACTTAAAATTCAATAAAAAAACAAAACAGCATTGAATGTAATGAAACGCCATTTTCTGGGTGAGTCCCGGAGGCTCCCTGAAGCTATCCATGGCTGATATGGATATCCCAACTATTTTGCATCAGTCGATGTGGGTGGAGTTCTAGGCCTACCGGGGACCACGAACCAGAACCTGGCCCCCCCTCACAGAGGCACGAGGAGCAATGGCCCATAGAAATGCACATGTGATTTGGAGCATTCTATATTTGCCATTGACCGGGACAGGCACCCAGAAAGATAAGCGCCACAAAACAAACCCCTATTCTGGTTAACAACGAAAATCATCAAATGAGTGGACAGAACTTCCCAAAAGAAAAACGAGCAAACAAGCATGACGTCACACAACCTGCGCCGCATGTCTGCGCAACTCCCCCCGCCCGAGAGGGGAGAAAGGGGGAGCCCCAGACCCTCACGCCGGTGATCCACACCCCAGTTCTGAGGCTGGATATCAAAAACGCAAAAAAACACCGACCGGAGGGAGAGGGGAGGGGAGGGTTGCCAGTACTCACCGAGAAAATGGCGTTTCATTACATTCAACTCTGTTTTTCTGGGGGGGGTAGCGCCTATGGCTCCCCGGAGCTACTTCACCAAAGACGGAAACAGAGGGACGCATCTGGGAGGTGGTTAGTGCTCACACCACAACACGAAGCCAAGACAACAGGCTGCAACAGTCGACCCAAGGCGACATAGGCCGGACGAGGCCCAGGAGGACACACGAGGAAGCGTGCAGCCAGGACCCAGCGCGACTGCCAAAACAACCCTGTGCCCGAATGTCGGCCCATGACATGCCACCAAAGACGGCAGCAAGCACAACAAACCTACAAACGTCATGGGCACAGGGAGAGACCACAGTCCGGTTAGACAGAAGGACTCAGCGAACAACCAGAGAGACCCGAACCTGAGAACAGGAAGGGAAACCTGAACAACCCAAAGCGTAGCCCAGCCACAGAGGCCGTGGCGCGCAAAGAACAGCAGAGAGCCACAACCGGACACAAGGAGCACCTCGGCCAACCAACCAAGCAGCAACAACCCCAGGGACCCCTCTGGTACCGAAGGGGCCACAACAAAGCAAAGGGAATAGAGAAAAAGGGCATCCTGCCCCAGAGCAGGATGGAGCAATCCCAAGCGGCTCCGCCAGCGCTGCACGAGATAGGGCGACGGTATACGGCCAGAAAACAGCCCTGAACCACCACGAGAGAAGGATAAGACCACGACAACAAAGAGCGCAGTACACCTACGAAGAGACAAAGAAAAAGAAGGACCGTCAGAAAACCCTTGACCGCCGCCGAGACAAAGCCAGCAGGAGGGACACATTCAAAAGCCACCTCGCCACAAACAGATGGTGAGACACTCTAGTCAAAAGTAAAGGCACGCATTTTAAAACTAGTCCCATAATAATAGCAAAATAAATAGAATTTTAACAAATATTTGTAAATGTTGTCCAAAAACGTATTTATAATCTTTCAAGTGTTCTGACATCAAGTTTTGTGTTACATCTTTCATGTTGATATCATATTGTGCGCACTCTAAAGGCGCTCATTTTGAAACTATGCTGAAGTCGATCAGATAGAAAATGAATTTTATACAAATATTTTTTGTATTGGACGCGAGCAGTGTCCAAAGCTAGGGCACGAGAGAAAAAAGTGGACACGAGGGGTGTCCAACGAGAGCGATAGTGTTTAATTGCTCGAGGGTAGTCAGGGTGATTGCCGTTCTCTTAGCACTTTGGACATTGTGATTATAGTAAACTATCGTTGGGCGATAGTAACCAATAACGTAACTCGTACGGGGATTAATCAGCTATCTAGAAGTACAGTGGGGCCTCGACTTACGATGGTAATCCGTTCCCAGAGACGTATCGTAAGTCGAAATATCATAAGTCAAAGCGATTTTTCCCATAAGAAATAAAGAGAATTGAATTAATCCGTTCCTCCACCCTCCAAAATATTAACTTACAAATACATTTTATACTGAATACAATTTTGTTCTCTAACATCAATACAGTAAATATGCTTATCTTACCTTTATGGAGGACTCTTGATGGCTTATGAAAGATGGTGATGAGGGGGGAGGAGAGGTGTTAGTGTTTGGAAGGGGAGTCCCCTTCTATTATAACATCAGGCAGTGATGACTTTTCTCGGATACACTCTCTGGCATGTTTTGCCTGCAAACCACTAGGACCTGCTTGTGGCTCACTGCTTGCTTGTCTTACTAAGAATCTGTCTAAAAACACTTGTTTTTCCCTACATTTTAACACTTGTCTGTAGTAAGACATCACATTGTCATTTAAAAGGTCAATGCAACGGCTTGCTACAGCTTTATCTGGGTTAGTTTTTCAACAAAACTTTGCAATTCTTCCCATACTTCACACATTTTCTTAATGAGGAGGGGATATCCTCTACTGCCTCAACTCACAACTATTTTCTTAGGTCAAACCTTACCACTGACTTTCTGCGACCCATGGCGTGATATATAATAATTAGTTTTATGTTCAAAAAGCAAAAAATCACCACAAAAACGGAATTTCTTATAGGCGTGATTGTCACTAAGCAGGCAGTTTTAGTAAACTGAGGCAGGTTGGCCCGCGTGACTGGGAACCACGCGCTCAGTCGACCCAAACGTGTACCAACAAATATCGTTAGTCGACGACACTATCGTAGGTCGAGTCGCATTTTTCTATCAAATTTACATCATAACTCGAAATTATTGTAAGTCGGGGCAATCGTAAGTCGAGGTGCCACACTGTACAGGGATTAATGGGGATTACTCACTGAATGCTCGATGGGTAGAGTGTTTGTGTAATTCTGAGTTACTAGTGACAGTTGTACAGTTTGATTTGTCTGAGGGATACAAGATTTAGTTAACGTAAATGTTACTTTGATATTAACGTAAATCAATTTGTTATTGATTGTTGATTGTCCGAGGGACGAAGTGTTAACGTAAGAATTTAATTGAGGAGGGTTGCTGAAGTTGCCAGTAACCCCATTAGTCCCTGTCATGTCATTGATAGGCTACTAAATTGATTGCTTGCAAACACCATTGCAGGTGTGGGCTGCAAGAAGCATAGGGAACTGATAGAAGGTTATTGGAGGCATGTCTCCTAGCCTACCGTGTCGGTGTTGCAGTGATTATAGATTAGTATGTCGTGCTTGCTTGATTGATACCTCTGTGTTCACCCAGTATGTTCAAGTTAGTTCATGTTGCAGCACTCGGGGCTGGTGTCTAGCTGTCAGTGAAAGTGTCACAGGAAGGATTTCGAGTAACGTCATTGATATTTGTTTCGTTGTTGTGGTAGTTAGTACTTTGTTGAATAAACTGTGTTGTTATGTTGAACAATGTCTTTTCGTTACACCCCACACATTTTATTGCTTTACATAAGTTCTGCCACTCTGCTGTTAAATTGAGACTGCTTCATGAGCTTAGATCTGAATTCATAGCACCACACAACATAAATTTCGTTGTGAGAGCCCATGACCTACTCGTTAGATTCGCCCTGGTGAATGACGAAGGTCAACGGCCTAAGTGAAGGGGATTTCAAACTTTTGATGTCTTGGCGTTTGCTTGCGCCTAGTCAATTGTTCTTATATGGTCCCAGAGTGAGGAATGAGCTGCTTACTACACTGAGAGTGTTAGCCAAGCAAGTCCTTCCTCAGGCGACCCATCTAGACTTTCAGTTAAAGTCGACGGATGTAATATTAGAATATCACAACAAGAATAAGGGTAAAGGAATTAAAAATAATTTTTTAGAAATTATCCAAAATTCCCAGAAATTCACTTCCCCCAAAAAATTTCACACAGATACAGAATGCTCCAAATCACATGTGCATTTCTATGGCCCATTGCTTCTCGTGCTTCTGTGAGGGGGGGCCAGGTTCTGACTCGTGGTCCCCGGTAGGCCTAGAACTCCACCCACATCGACTGATGCAAAATAGTTAGGGAATCCATATCAGTCATGGATAGTTCTGGGGAGCCATAGGGGGCTTCCCCCAGAAAAGTAATACTATATGCTTCAATAATAGAAAGAACTATTATAACAAACCTCAGTATCTGAACCACTATCTGAAGTTTCAGCTTTCCTAGGTGGAGCTGCCACGTCGATATTGACCTCCATACGCCGGAGCTCCCGAGCTTGTCTTACTGCCTCGCCCTCATCTTCGTCGTCATCGTCCTCGCCTCCTTCGCCCTCAGTGGCTGTGTGACTTTCATCACCTTTTATAAAAAACAGAAAAGACTGTATAATGAAATATACAATAATGAACTGTTAAAAACATATTTTCAACTTTTTAAAATTCAAATTTATATCCAGCCAAAACAGTTAATTTCTTATTCAACGTATTTACCCTCAGCTCCATATTCTTCACTATAATTGTCAGAGTCGAGGTCTGATTCAGATTCATGTCCAGAGCCGCCGCCACCATCATCATCATCAAGGCGGTCAGTGGAGTAGCGCCTCTGCCATGACTCTGCTAATCTGCGAGTCTCGGCAGCAGTCAGAGTTCCCCCACCATCCAAGTAACCCATTTCTTCATCATCAACCTCTTCATCACTAAAATTAATTCCTTATGAGCAAACTTATATATTTCACTTTAAAAACTTCTAAATTTTTTCAATTAATATTAAATTCTAATACCTACCATATTGGTTTCCACTACCAAATTCATTAGTTTTAAATATTTAAGAACTGATGCAGCAAAACTATTGTTGGGAGGTCCTAAACTTTCATCTAGTCGCCACATACAGTGTACTATTTGTCTCGGTTTTTCCATTCCCCATGCATCCTCCTATTATGCCTCTCCTTCCATGATACCCTTTCTACACCATCACCACCACCAGCATACCATAACACCTCCATACTGTCTCCTTCACAGACCCTTTTTTCCCAAACCCATCTACTACTATTCTGACATCAACCACCCACCTTGGGCTTGACCCTTCCAACAAGACAACTTCCCAACCACTCCCCAATATATTTGATCACCCCTGATATTGCTGCTGGGCACCAGCCTTTCATGGCTAGCACCTCCACTATTCATACCCTTTCACACTTAAAACTCTTTTCCACTAAGCCACAACACACTTTCTCCAGACTCCACCAATGACTAACTTTTTTCACTAGGTCTACAACCTCTTTCCTTTAGATTCCCTCCCTCAACCTCACTTCAAACCCACTCTCACTGCAACTGTATCTCATATTTCACCATTTTCTACCACTACAAATGCTTCCATACTTCCACCTTAGCCCCAGGCTCATCAACCCCACTCATACATTTCCACACCAGTGGTAGCCACCACCACAAATTACTATCCTTCTCTCTGAGACCACCTCGGACACTCTTCAGTCCCAGTCACCATCACCCCATCCCACCCAATATCATAACTTCCCCATAAGAACCACCCCCACCTGAACACACATTACGGACAAAGAGCCTTAAGGTCTAGTAAACATTGTCACCTACACTAGACTACTCCACCAGCTTCCTCTTCCTTGCCTCTTCCTTCTTCCTATAACATACACTTCACTACCCTACCAGATTCAACTTCCTCACATCCCTCCTGCAATCTACACTTCACGTACCCTTATTTTCAAATTCCTAGCCTTCTACCTATTCCTCAATTCTGTTCTTCTCCCCATCACAAGTTGATATTCACCTCAATATGTCACCTTTGAAATATTCTTATCTTTCCCAAACATTGTTTCACCATCAATATTTATCAACTTAATTTTCAATCTTTTCATTATTAAAAAATGATGAAAACAAGAGTTTATGAAAGATTTAGCATACAAAATTTAAAGGATAAAAAATAAAAATAAAAAAGCGAGTTCAATAGCTATTTGAAATATTCAGGAAACACGTGAACATCTCTCCTATTCCAAAAGCTTAATCGATAAAGTTCTTACCTGAGGTCCGAGTAATCACTATCGTCTTCGCCATCCGAGTCATCCAACTCGTTGGCAGATGCACCAAAATTACGATCTGTCCATTCATCCTCAGAAAGGTATTCATCTTCATCACTCTGTTCCACAACCGAATTCTCAAATTCCACACGTTCTGGAGTGGTACCTCGGTCTTCAGGGGAGAGGCCAGTTAGAGCACCACCTTTCCCTACACCAAGACTGCTAACAAGGGCACCTGTTGCTTCGCCTGCCCCCACCACCACTGGTACCTGAAACAGTGTGCGTGCCACCATCACCTAAGTGCCATGCCCAAGACAAAGGAGTGGGAGCTGCAGCCTGTGACATTGATATCAACCATCCATTCTGCCTCTGCATCAGTAGGCTATAGAAGCCTTAGCCAGCTGTTCTACAGTTACAGTATTCTAAACTACATCTACATAATGCATTCCAGAAAAAATATGCATATTTGGATCATATTATATAGTGGTATGTTATACATCTCCACCAGTGAACATAACATCTGAAGAAGGGCTGTGCAAGATTAAACTCAATCACTAAATTAGAAAATAAAATTTGTATTTATTTCAAAGAAACCATAAGTTTTTACTAAATTTCTCTTCTGATGGTGGCAAAAAGGATTCAACATATTTATAGCAGCTCACAAAAAATTAAATAATAATAATAATAATAATAATAAATAAATATTATTATTATTAAAATGACAAATACTGTACTGCACTTCTATTAATGCTACAATCATCTGAGTATTGATTTATAATTATCCATAAACTTTTTCCCACCAATACAGTACACAGTACATGGATATACTGTATGCATGTATGTTTGTATAGTTACCCTTCCGAGACTGATGCTGCAAGCCTGAAAAAGACTACTGGACGTAAAATACGCGAGAGAGATTAACAAAAAAGAAATAAAGTTATCTGAAATTTTTAACAAAGAAATTACAAGTCAACTTGTAAGAGAAAACTGATACTGGCCACTGGTGAATTTTTAAGTTTATGAAAAGAAAACCAGTCATAGATGTCAATAAAGAGGAAACAAGAAAATGAGGAGACAGACTGTCTGAAGCATCCTCTGTGATGTGTGTTGCTCAGGTCTAACTACAGTGCGTATGTGCAAGATGCTGGCTCCGGCATGCCAATGCTATTTACAAACAGTACAAAACTGTTGGTTTTATTGATTTTTATTGTTTATTCAGTTTCAGTACACAATCTTACAATGACCTGGAGCTCTACAAAAATCTTGATTTTTTTTTACACAGTTTGACTTTATTATTCTAAAATACATTTCATATGTTGCAAAAGTCCTTAGTGTCATTAGTGATAACAAAAAAATACTGTACTAAAAAAAGTTATTAGTTTTATACTGTATTACATATTACATACCAAATTAGGGCAACAGACATAATGCACAATGAAATCACAAAAACCTAATGAATCTATGAATAAATATTGAGGGTGTATGATGGAATCAAACCTGTGTGCATCTGAGGAGCTCAGGGGCATGGGTTCGATTCAGTTGTACAACTTCAATATTTATTGAAGACGTAATGCATCTAACAGAATTCTTTAAAAAGACATCTAGCCAAGTCCAATATGGACTAACCCTGAGCCTTTGTCAATCGCTGTAGCCACATTTTATAGCGGCTCCACACCGGATAAGCATCAATTGCCTTCAACTTTCCACTTAGACACTCTGGATTGGAGTGTAGTGGAGTCGAGTCAGAGTCTGTGTCATAGCCACAGTCATAGTACGGTCTCTCGTACACTGGTCTCTGGTGGGTTGAGATATCAATGGGGGAAGAGAAAGACCAGGGATAGGAAAGCAAGGATGGTGGAACCAGAGTATAATCGACATTACTCTTTGAAGATAATCCTTGATCTACATTAAATCTTTCTGCCTTAGATACATCTAATCTTTTTAATTTTTGACAAGACAAAACATCTTTACACAAACTGGATTGCACAGTACTACATCTTGATAAATTCTCTTTGTTTTGCCTCTTGGACTGTACTAACTTATCCTGTCTTATTGTGTACTGTGAATCATCCCGCTTTATTGTGCATTTAAAATCCCTCACAAATGCTTTACTTGACTGAGACTTATTGCTCTCATATAAATGAGCTCCACTGGATAATTTCACAAATAACTGAGAATTATGTCTAGAGTTTTTATCAAACATATTAGATTCAGAAATTGGACCATTTGTTTCCTTTTTAAGTCTTATGTTACCTGCTGTCTTCAAACTCTTTGATAATCTATTATTTCGCACCCAAGACATTTCAGTAGGCTTTTCAGTATAACAATTTGATACTGACTCTGTGGTCAAAGTCATCCTAAATTTATTACCTACATTATTCTGAAACTTTTTCTCTGAACACGATAGTGGCATCTCTCGAAGTCTAGCTTCTCTAAGACATTTTGAACTTTTGTCTACACATGTTTCATCAGTATTGGCACATCTATTGCAATTAATACTCTCTATATCATTAACATCATTGTAGCATTTGAGTAGGTGCTCTGGGTGATAACGAAGAGAAGAGGCTCGTCGTATCAGAGCTGTGTACTGTCGTGGTGAGATCTCGCCATCACATGGATGCAGCCACCCTAAAGACCCATGACCTAAAAGGGGCCATGTTTGGGGTCCATTTCTCATCTGCAAGCCCATGAATCCTGGGGTTAGTTTTTAGTGAAAAGAACCAGCCAACATGTGAATTATGAGCCATGTTCTTAATATTCTAATATGAAAAGGAAAAAGTAAGGCACGTATATTCTAAAAACACCAAAATCATTAGTAAGCATTTATGTGGAATTAAACTACATGCAGTTTCCATGCACAACAAACATTTAAATCCATGCTTCCCTTAAAAATTTATATATAAAATAAGAAAGTAAACAACAAAAGGCACAGTACTGTGATTAAAATAAATGTATAACAAACCCACAAAGTAAATATGTATATTGACAACATTTCAGTTCATCCCAGACCATCATCAAGTGAGCTTGATATTGTAATGGTCTGGAGAAAACAAACTCAAATGTCTTAGAATTTTCATTTTTTAATTTGTGGTTTTGTTGGGCAGGAAAGTAATCAAGATATTGAAAAAACAGGGACATTGCTGAAGATACCCAAAATTGTCACTTAATACTGTGGCTTAGTTGAAGATAAAGTAAATATAACTTGATAGATGCAGGTCATTAGTGAAGTAGAAAATTACTTATATAACTTTAGTGAATTAAATCTAATGCCTTACACTGCATCTACACTCAACAGCCTGAATACAGGTCAATACAATGCAAGGATAATTACAGTACCAAGATGCACTAGCCCTATCAATTGCTACACTCTTTTAAACCTGTATGGACACAGAAATCATCCCCCCATAACCTTTGTCAGCCAATTTGGATTCTGAAGAATTACCTTGCTCTTTCCTCAGTGATTGGCGTTCACTGACCAATGGTGGCAACTCTTTTATCTCACCTGGCCTTAAAACAGATGGTGGGAGAGACGTGCAGCTGCCCATGCAGTCTTGTCATCTTAGGTTACCAAAATCCACGCATTATCAGCACCAAGTACGCCACGGCCAGGAGAATCATCAACCAAACGAAGATCTGCCTCAACTAGAAGAGGCCATGTTTTGTTTATAAATGGAAGCTGACTTCCTCTCGAAATGAGTTGCATATACGCAACTTGCGGTGTAAATAATTAGCAAGTGTGAGTGATGCGCACAGCAAACGCTCTGACTGAGTGCTGAACTCTCACCTTAAACAAGCGTTGATGATGTATCTTGAATTCTCTCAACTGGTCTAAATGTTACTTATGACACTCATGATTTAAAAAATCAGCTGTCACCCTCAGAAGCACTTGTTAGAACACTCAAATTAATAACTTAAGAGCCTTTTGTTAGTATTGATTATTGTAAAACCCAGAATATATTGGATTACCATGATATAAGGTCTCTCTTTACTCTGGATATCTACTTGTATAAATAAGCAAATGTTATTTAGATTGCCATGCTTACATGCTTCCTATTGAAGATTCAGGTGTTTTATAAATATACACCATCACAGTTTTATATTCTGTAGTGTGGCAAAACAGATGACACTATATAAACATTTCATTGGTATTGCCATAAGTTATGCGAAATTCAGATCTTCATTATAACTGAGGTCAAACAGTAACAGAACTCCTTCAAATATTTCAAAAAATTAGTTAGCAAATCACTGGTAATTAAATACGCCAACATACACACACATGAGAAGGGAATGTGACAATGTTTTGGTCCATCGTAGAGCCTTCATGATAAGGGGTCCAGGACAGACCGAAACATTGTCAAAATCCTCTCTTCACATGTGCAGAGTTTGATTATTTATTTTCAGCCATGGTATTCAAACTAATTCTCTACGGTGGCAATTCTTTAGCAATAATGGCCTCTACTATATTATACCTTAGGCCTTACCACTTGCCTCTAATATTCACTAACCACATATTTGTTATTTCCCACACATATAGGCTAATATTCAACAATGATATGTGGAAACTACATGAGGCCCCTCCTATTGGTTCATATGAGGCAGTTCCTATTTATATCCGCCCGAACTCACTCATATACATGTCTAACCTATGCTTTAAACCAATCCAGCGATCATGTGTTTATTATGTTTCTGGGCCATTTGCTTCATAAATCAACAGCCCTGTTCCCAAACCAGTATTTGGCCAGGTCTTCCCAAAATCTAAATTTATGCAATTACATTCGTCCATGTTTAATTTTGTGTTGATTTCCCTTTATTATACTCTTTCGAAAACTTATTTGTATTTTTCAATCATGCCTCCCCTTTACTCTACATTTTTCTGAAGATTGTAAGTTAAGCATATTTTAACTTCTCTTTGTAAGGAAGCTTTCAACTTTCTGGAAAACTTTTTATCTTCTCTGTACATTTCAAGAGAATTGATATACATTTTATAGTACAGTGTGCAAAACTAAACTAAATAATCTTAATGGGGCCCTAAAAAAGGCAAGATAAAGCTCAAGCTTAACGTTAAATATCTTATTGTTAAAAATTCTATAAATAAATCCCAGTATGGTATCCTATTTGCCTTATTACATGCATCTATGTACTAATCTTGAGGTTATCTTAATGTTTTGGCATAAAATTCCTATTAACTATGAATGCCAGATTAAGGTGGCCTTGATAATCACCTTGGCACTGAGAGAATGTGCTCATAAGGTATGCAACTAAGAATTCT